CATGGTATCACTGCACCCCACTGCGAAGGGTGTCCTCCCATGCATGGTATCACTGCACCCCACTGCAAAGGGTGTCCTCCCACACGTGGTATCACTGCACCCACTGCAAAGGGTGTCCTCCCGAGCATGGTGTGGGCATGCACCCCACTGCAAAGGGTCTACTGTATGGTGTGATTAAGTGCTCGCTGCAGAGAGTCTCCCCATGCACACAGCATCACTGCACCCACTGCAAAGGGTCTCTCTCCATGCATAGTGTGGGCATGCACCCCACGGCAAACGGTCTGCCCAGACGGTGTGAGTGGGTGCTCACTGCAAAGGGCGTCCCCACACACAACATCACTGCACCCACTGCAAAGCTGTCCCGGCACCTTTTCCTCTGTCCTCCCACCTCTCCTGGCCCCTGCCCCCTCCCGCAGAGCCCCAGGGCAGCACGCACCCCCGGGCTGAGGAGGGCACAGAGGTCCCCGGCGGGAGCGAGCTCCTGCCCAAAGGCGAAGTGCGTGGCGCTCTCGAAGGCGATGGGCAGGGCGCGCAGGCAGGCGGCATGGCTGGAGAGGCACAGGGCGATGCAGTACTCCCGCAGGAAATCTGCTCCTTCAGCATCAGCTTAAGGACTACCGGCGAGCCTGGAAAACGGGGCCGGGAGGAGCTGAAGGGGGGTCAGCACCAGCTGGGGCACCGAGGGGGTAAGGACAGGGTTTGGCATGGGATGGTTTGGGCAGAGCTGAGGTTTAGCTCAGGTGGGTCAGGCACAGAGGTGGGGCTGTGCACCTCTGGGGGAGCAGGTTCCCCAGCCAGCAGCAGGGTCACCCTCCCTGTCCCATCCGTCCCCCCCAGCGCCCCTCACCACCATCCCGGGGCTCCGTCAGCACCACACGGCCATACGTCCCGCTGCCCAGCTCCTCCAGCACGGCGTAGTGCTCCTCCAGCTCCCGCTGCGGCACCTCCCGGCCCGTCTGCACCATCAGCCGCTCCAGGAACTCCTCGTTGTCCTCCCCGTCCTCATCCGACTCCTCCATGGGCCCTGGGGAGAGCCAAGCCCCCCGCGCTGCTGCGAAGACCCACCATCCCCGGCCTCTTGCAAGGGGAGAGGGCGGCAGCACCAGCCTCACAGCCCCAGGGCACCCGGCCAGGACAGCCTGGTCCAGGCCAGTTTAGCCCAGCTCAGCCTAGCGGAGCCCAGACCAACCTGGCCTGAAACATCACGGTCTAGCCCAGTTCAGTCCAGTCCGACCCACCCAAGCCCAATACAGTCCAGCCCAGCCCAGCCTAGTGGAGCCCAGATCAGCCTGGCCTGAAGCATCCCAGTTTAATCCAGTTCAATTCAGTCCAGTCCAATGTACCCAAGCCCAATCCAGTACCCAATTCACTTCCTGTCCAGTCTAGTGAAGCCCAGACAAGCCTAGTCCAACCTTCTCCAGCCCAGCCCATTCTAGCCCAGTCCAGCCCAACCCAGCACAGTGAAGCCCCGTACAGCCCAGCTCAGCCCAGTACAGCCCAGTCCACCCCAGGGGCTCTCCCCATGGTGTCCCTGGCTGGGATCAAGCCTTGCCCCTCTCCCCCAGGCACACTGCAAACACTGTCCTGGCTGGGGGGAAGGTGCAGCCGCACACCAAGAGGTGACGGGGACCCCAAAACGCCCCTGTCCAGTGGGGCTGAGCACTCCCAACAGGGGTCATGGGGAGCCTGGACACTCGCTCTGTTGAGCCCCTATGTCCTCATGTAGGAGGGAGCGTCAGCCCCACATCAGACCCCGGAGGAGAGGCACTGAGCTCTATAACCTCCAAGAGGAGGGACAGGCAGTTGCACATCACACCCCCACATCACCCCACGGCAGCAGCAGTCAGGGTGACTCTCCACCCCACATCCCCCCATTGCAAGGGGTCAGGACCAGCTCTGCCTTTCCCCACATCCTCCCCTTTGCAAAGGGTCAGGGCTCACCCCCTCCCCACATCCTCCCACGGCAGGGGGTAGGAGCTGGCTCTGTCCCTCCCTATATCCCCCCATTGCAAGGGGTCAGGGATGACTCCTTGCTCCTCCATCCCGAGCCCTGAAGCAGGACCCTGGACCCTTCTCCCATCCCATCACCCGCAG